TGATGATGATGATGATGATGATGATGATGATGATGATGATGATGACGATGATGAGAGGAGGAGGAGGTGGAGGAGGGGGAGGAATAGGTCGAGGAAGCGGGTGAGGAGGATGATGAGGAGGAGGCGGAGGCGGAGGAGGAGGAAGAGGATGAGGAGAACCAGCGTAAACCCAAAGGCCATCAACGATGTTGGAATACACCGTCCCTCCAACATCCCTCTTCATAGACCCCTACAACGGTTCATTTCCACTGAGGGAACTACCTCGTTGGAAGACAACCGTTTGAAGACCCTGAAACGAGAAGGAGGAGGAGGAGGAGGAGGAGGAGCAGGAGGAAAAAGAGGAGGAGAAGGAGGAGGATGAGCAGGAGCAGGAGGAGCAGGAGGAGGAGGAGCAGGAAGAGGAGGAGGAGGAGGAGAAGGAGGAGCAGGAGGAGGAGGATGAGGAGGAGGACGAGGGGGAGGAAGGGGGAATGAAGGAGGGGGGAATGGAGCTCAGAGGATGGAGAAAAAGACCCCCCTCTCGCCTCCGCTCCCCCCTCATGCTGACCTCTCCCTCCCCCTCCTCTGCCACCGCGTCCCTTTGGGAGCGAACAAGGAAACCACGCTCATAGAAAGCACCCCAACAAGCAAAGTCGTTTAGCAAAGGCACTCAAGGCAGGAATCGAACTGGGTAGGGCTGCTTAGTAAACGCCCAAGGCCGCTCAGTAATCGCCAATTGTGAGAGTCAGGGTGTTTTTTGTCTCCGTTGTTAAGGTCCCTCCTCCCCTCCCCAACCACCATGGCCTTAGGTGGGCTGTCATCCCCGCCCCGCGCCCCTGCTGAAACCCATCGCGCCGACGGCCTCCCGAGAAAGGACGGGCGCGCACGGATCTCTCCTGCAGCACCTCCTCCCAGCGCCCGCGCGCCTCGCGCATCTGCGCCAGCCGCGCGGCCTCCTCCCGCGGCGCGGGGCCGCGGGCGCGCGTGGGCGCCGACCGGGCCGACCTCTCCAGGCGGGAAGCTCGGCGCCGAGGAACACAGCTGCTGGTCTCCACTCGCCTGGGAGGCCACCTGCCGAGTGCAATCGCGCAAGGCCGAAGCCGAGTGGACACAGGCCCCAGGGCCCCGGGGGAACCCTTGCGCGCAGGGCTTCGGCCGAGCTCGCGAGCGCACGTGCACTCAACTCCGAGGCCGAAGTCGAGTGCACGCGCGCAGGGCCGAGTGGGAGTGCCACCTGCCGAGTGGGCAGAGGCACGGGGGCCGAGATCTGGAAAGGCGCGTGGTCGGACAGCGCTGGACCCAACCAGACACGATGACGCCTCGCCGTCACTTCCGCCGGCCTTCCGCCCGCCTTCCGCCGGCAGCGGGCACATCCGCAGGCCTTCCGCCGGCTTCCTCCGAGGGCGACGGTGCGCTGAGGGCAAGGCGGGTGCTGGAGCGGCGCATGTGTATCCAGCTCTCGCCCAGGCTGGCGTCGTCCAGCTCTCGCGCTTCGCGCTGCGTGAAGCGCGTTCATCTTCGCGCCCTCGCGCGGCCGCCACGACAGGAGAACTCACTGGCCCAGAACGCGAGGCGCGAAGCTCGGTAATCTTCGCGCCCCTGCGGGTGACCCGGGAAAGCAGCTGAGCCCGCTGAGCCCTGCTTCTCCTCCACCTCCCACCGCCTCCAGCTCCTTCCTCGCCGCCACCGTCGTGGACCATAACCACGGCGACGAGGACGGGAGCGAGGAGGGGGACCCAGCAAAAGAGCTCCCAGGGCCAAGAGGACGAAGACGAGCGGCCCAACATCGCACCCACCTTCGGCGTGGAGGGAGGCGCACACCGAGCACTGCTGCTGTTCCACGACTTCGGCGCCATGCGGGCCGAACCTCCAGGAGCGAGGACCTACCCGGAGAACGGCCCGCGGCCAGGAAAAACGGTCCGCGGGACGGGGCTGAACGATGCAGACAAGCCCGACGTCCCTGGCTGTGTCAAGGTGCCCAAAGGGGGTACGCGAAAAACAAACTCCAGGATTTAAAATACTTGTCCATGTGTTCCAAGGACTCTCCTCTTCCCCTCCGTTCCGCATGCTTTCTTATATCTGGACGGAGTTGAGAAATGGGCCTCTCTTTGTGTGTTTCTGCCGATCTCTCCCTCCTGGATACAGGCGGCCCTGGTGCGTGGGCGTGCTTCGGGCGCGGCCTGGCTCCTTGGTTCCTTGCGCGTCCACGGGCCAGCGCTGGTGCACAGTAGAAGTATACGTCAAGGGATCCAGCTGCAGGATCTCTGGGGGCACAATCTGCGTCGAGATGGGGCCTCGCGGGATCCCAAGGGTTTTCTGGCCTCCGTGGGGTTGCCGAGCTATCGAAATGCGTCCACTGGCAGGCAGGCTTCGTACTCGATGTGCATACTCTATGACGCTGTGGGGCTCGACGTCGATGGGACCATGGCGGACGGGCGCGTGGCATGCTCTTCTCTTCTTCTTTTTCGTCGGCGTGAAGGCGGCGTGGTCCGTCACCGCGCATCACCGCCATAGTGTGGGCGTCCGTCCTCCTGCTGCGATACTTCGGGTTCGCGTCCTGCGGCCTGCGAGAGGCAGCCCCCCGTTGTTGCCGGTTCCGTTCGGGTCGGGCGACAGGAGGAGCATAGCAAAAGGGGGCTGGCGAATCAGCGCGCGTGGCTGGTCTTTCCGGTGCCTCGTGGCGCCAAGAAGCGCTCGCCTGTCGAGGAAGGCGCGTGGCGGCGGTGCCGCAAACCGCTGCGTGTGGCAGAGTTCGCCCCCCCCCGTTCCAGTCCCCCCCTCTCGTCCGACCCGACCGTTCGCCTCGTCCGTAAGAGCTGGTGGCACCAGGGGAAGGGCCTGCCGCGGGCGGCGCTGTCGTGGCCGAAGGGCGGACGCTGCCCCTCACCAGCCCCGCCTCCCGTGGGCGGTCGCTTGGCCCCCCTCCGCGGCCCAGGAAGACTCGGCGGCGCGCCCGGGGGGGAAGGGAGAGGGAGCAGGCCTTCGTGGAAGGCGTCGTGGCTTCTCAGAATCCCTCGCGCCGTCTGGGGTGTGCCCCGCGTCTCCAGGGAAGGATTCGACAACTTCTCAGAAGGCCCCTGGACTTCCGAGCCTTCGGACAAGGCCCGCCCGTTCTCATTTCCCTCATGCGTTTGCTCACCACCGGCAGGGAGGCCCGCGGCCGTCTTTCGATGGCTTTGGCAACTTCTCCAGAAAGTTTTGGTACCAGACCTCCGAATGCTGCCCCAAGACCTTCGATCACCGCCCGCCAGAACACCACAGACAACCTCCCCCGACGCTTCCGCGCAGCTTGTTCGCTGAGATAATGAGCAACGCAACTGACTTCGGGTAAACATGCGACAACAACTATGCAGGATGCCCGTGCCACAGAATACCTGGGAAGCGCGAAAGGATTGAAGGAACCTTCAACGTAATTGCCCTGGTTCAAGGTTGCCTCCGGTTCGCTTCCAGTCGGCTCCCAGGATGCACCGGAGGGCGCCCAGGATAACCAATCTCCACGGTGGCACCCGAAGCGGTCTCAAATGCGGCCTCTAAGACCCCAGAAACAGGATGTGGTGTAGGAGGGGGAAGGTGTGGTCGATGTAGGGGAAGTGAGGATGCGGATGGATCTGCGACACAAGATAGAAGGGCACTGTTGGGTGGTGGTAGAGCGAACGAGCGCAATCGAACGGAAGAGGAGAAGGATGAGTTGCTCTTCCCCCAGGAGTTCTCTTCAATCCTTGTGCTCATCCTCTCTCACTCCCTCATCCTCCCTCCTCCGCCCTGCCCCCCACGAAGCCCCTTGCAACTCCCAGGAGGGCTCCTGGACCATCCCAAGGGAGGAGAGGAAGTCCCCGCACGCGCTTAGGCGATAGGAACATAACCACCAATGTTTTGAAGACCTCATCGAGCTCAGCGTGCTAGAAGGGACGAGGGAGGAGGGCGATGGCGAGGGCGGGGGAGAAAGGCGAGGGAGGAGGAGAAGGTGGAGGAGGAGGTGGATAAGAAGAAACAGGGGGGATGTAGAAGAGGAGGAGGAGGAGGAGGAGGAGGAGGAGGAGAAGGACGAGGACCAGTGTAAACCCAAGACTCATCAACGACGTTGAAATACACCGTCCGTCCGAGATCCCTCTTCATAGACACCTACCAGGGGTCACTTCCATTGAGGAATTGCCACTTTGGGGGACAACCGTGTGAACATCGTCAAGCGTGCCAAGACACCATTCTCAGGACTTCAACGCCACGAATTAACCTGACTGTCACGCCTTGGTGACCCTGAATCGTACCAGAGCACCACTCCTGGGACTTCAACACCGCGAATCAACGTAACTGTTGCGCCCTGGCAATCTGAACCGCTCCAAAACACCATTTCTGGTACGTTAACCATGAAGATCAATGAAACTCTTGCGAATCTGTAATACTAATGTGTGCGGCGCTAAAGCGAAAAACCACATTTTCTAAACAACCCGCCCTCAATCCGTGAACTTACTGCTAATTTTGGACACGAGTGTGCCGGTGCTCAGGCGAAAGCTTCCTTTTGAAAACCACCCGCCCTCAATCCTTGAAGCTCTTGAAAATATGTAAAACGATGATGCTGGCGCTAAGGCGAGAGCCGCATTTTGAAAACGGCCCGTCCTCAATCCGTGAGGCTCCTGCAATTTTTTGAAGGGACGAAGCGCAACGCTAAGGCGAGAACCACATTGTGAAAACGACACGCCTTCAACCCGTGAAACTCTTGCAAATGTTTGAAACGAATGCGCGCGGCGCAAAGGCGAGAACCACATTTTGAAAAAAACGGCCCGCCCTCAATCCGTGAAGTTCTGGAAATCTTCTAAAACGAATGTGCGCTGCGCTCAGGCGAGAGCCATTTTCTGAAAACCAGCCGCCTCAATCCGTGAAGCTCTGGCTCACGAACCACCTTCGCCATCCTTGCACGGTCCAGCTGCGCCATCTGTGGGCGACGAAGCGGGAGCCTGGCAGCGACCTAACGGCATCCAAAAAGAAACCTGCCTCTGGAAAGGTAAGCGCCCCCCCTGGGACGACGCAAAACGGGATTCAAACCTGTAGCCCTGATAGAGCACAACAGGTGAACAACATTGGTGGCCTCTCAACACCAAAGTGGAGACAACACTGGCGGGGGGAGGCGACTTCAGAGCGTGGGAGGCCCATCGGAAAATAGGCGGGCAACTGAACAGACAGTGCTGGACGGTGTCAGCTACGTTATAGCAACCAAAAGTGCACCCGCAAGGGCGCTGGATTCTGCCTCCAATGCACCATCCTTCAAGATAGCGCCGTGCAACAATGAAGGGCCACGCTGGCGGGACTTGGATCAGGACTCCACGGAGAGCTGACCATTCGTACTCAGACAAAAGAAGCTAGACTTTAAAGTGTTGCTGCGCTCGCTTAACAATGAGGGCTTCGGGAGGGGCATGGCACACCTTGCTGAAAGAGCGAGCAACTTTCCTTTGCCAGGTTGGGCGCTTCGGGCTGGCCACAAACCAGAAATCTGGCGGCTGAGAGAAGAGGTCGAGAGCCCCTCCACCCGACATGGCGGAGCATGGGGACAACTGGAAAATCCAAGGAAGCTTCCTCGAAGGTGGCAAGAATGGACGGTGACCCCCCGAGGGGCGGAGCGAACACGGGAGAGAACCACCACCCAGCCTCGCCCCCCCCCGCTCCCGCACGCTTGTCCTGACGCTGGCCAGGACGACGGCAGGCCAGGTTGAGCATGTGACGAGGGCAGACCGCACGAGCGTCGCAGCGCCGATCGGGAGCCACCACGCCGAACTAACCCGAAATGGACCCTAACGAGCTTCGCCACGAGCCTCCTTTCGATCTGAGATGCTCTCCAAGACGTGCGGTAGAGCTGGCGATTATAGCCGAGTGCCGTGGCCGCGCGTTACTGGCAGAACTGGACAGAGACTGACTGGGGGGGGGGCCCTCGAGCAGCAAGCGAGGTGGCCCGATCGAGCGCCTTCGCAAAAAGGGGGCATCCCAAACATTCAGAGGAACGGCCTCTGGCCCAACTATACAACCCAAGTACATCGTGTCAGACGCAACAGGAACATTCAACCAATCTGGGTCAGCATCTGAAATGGCGGACCACATATCGGAAACCACGCTGTCCGAGGACCTGGTCCCAGAGAGGGACCGAGGCGCACGTCCTTGCGTTCAGGCACAACGTGGCGAATCTGATGGCGCGCCTGGAAATACAGCCGAGGTGGGAAGGGGCACGCTGGTTCCACGAGACTACGCCAATGTCGTTCGCGCACGCGCGCACAAACGCCTCGACGCGTTGTCGAGACGTGAACCTAGATGTATGTGAGGAAGGGGTCGGCACAGACAAAGGTCTGTCTGGTAACAGACATCTCTGGAGGACACCTGCGACAAGCCAGAGAAAGAACACCGCAACATCTCCTGAGGTGGAGCAGCGGGGATTGAGGTTGAAGACAGAAGCAGCACGTTTGAACCCTTCAGGTAGCGGGGCGAGCCTGACCGTAAGGTGCATCCACTCCTGCCTTGCTGATGGGAACGTTTGTGCAGGATCGAAAACCAAGAGGGGGGGGAATGCCTGGGGTTCCGTTGGGCCTTGATGCTGGCCCCTCTCGGAACAAAGCCACTATCTACAATGTTGCCTAAACAAATTCGCCCCAAAGTTGAAACCTCTGTGGGAAGGGGCCGCCCGCAAAGGAATTCAGGGTCCGACACACCGATCAGTGAATGACCGCAGCAGCCGTTTCTTTTGATTTTTTTTGGCGCAAGGGGGGCGAGCCTCACCGCGCTAACAAGTTGCGCCTATGAGGGTCGGATCCTCATCCGCCACCGGCTTAGGAATGAAGAACTGGAACGCGAGCTACACGATGGAGGCATGCCCGTCGGTCGGACGAAGTTGGTAGAATCATGAAGCAGAGCGGCGTTAAAAGTATATTGAGTTTCCGCCCGCCCTCAAAGAAAACGAGATGATGCCACGAGATGATTAAGTAGGAAGGCGCCTAAAGTACATTGGAATAAAGGAATCCAGAAACACATACGTTCAACGACCGAGGGGTAGGGTTGCCAGCAAGAACATGCAATAACACTTGATGCAAGATGGCGGGCACTTGCCCGTGCTTCCAGCGCGAGAGAGGGAGCCCCCCAGGACCTGGGGCAGAGGACGAGAGCCAGTCGAAGCGCGTCGAAATCGACCGAAGTGAAGGAGGAGGGAGCCCACGGATGTCACGAGAGCCTGACGCAAACTTCTTAGCAAAGATCGGGGCACAGATTTGATTTAGCTCCGCGGTGATACTTTCGAGAAGTGCGACGACGCTGTGCGCCTCCGCACCACCACCACCCCCGTTCAGCCTCACCCCAGCCAGAAGCAGATCCTCCCGAAGGTACCCCACAGACGATTCCTGGCTAGAGCTTTCTTGCCAGCGATGATCCAGGAAAGCATGCCTGGGCGACTCCTGCTGGCCCTCAACCTCGATAGATCGTTTCAGATCCTTCTTCCCCCGCTGTCGGAGGGAGGCGTATAGGGCCTGAAACCTGGGCGCGCCGAGTAAAGAGACCCTGCCGACTCGGTCGGGAGCGATGCGTTTTTTGGTTTATGGATGCCGAATCACCAAACGCCCGAGCAGGTTTCTCTTCTTGCCCAGAGGCGCACCTGGCAAGCGAACGGGTGACCATCACACGAGACATGGCGTCAACGAGGCCGGACAGCAGGACGCTGGAGGTCCCTACATGCCCGCCCCGCGGCTTTCCTGCATTTGGCAGCTGGGCCGATCAGAGCCTCGTACTCGCAAACCAGTTTCGCAAACATCAGGAAGAGGAGGAGCAGGAGGAGGAGGAGGAGAACGAGGAGGAGGAGGAGGAGGAGGAGAACGAGGAGGAGGAGGAGGAGGAGGAGGAGGAGGTCCGCGAAGGTCAGGACATCACACGGGGTGCAGCTTGTCAAGATGAGTTTCTGCATGCTGGGGAAGGGCCAGCAAGCCCAGCGGCCATCGACAGAGCGCACCCCAAAGACAAAACACGATCACCAGCCAAGACTGAACTGCTGGGCTCGGCCCAAACATGGCTCACAACCGATGGTCACGCTGTGTCGGCTGCTAAGGCTGGGCCGCATCATGCACAGCAAAGTAAGAGGATTAGGATAGACTTCCCTCGGACGACAGTGCCGAATTCCTTGCAGCTGTGGCTTGTTTCTGGGCTCTCTCCATTCGCTCCCTCACCCCTCACCTCTCAACGACCTAATCGTCTAAGCGGCTCAAGCTGAGCTGTCCTGACGGGCCCCCTTGGTGGCCTAAGCTCTGACGCCCATGAACGAGGACGTGTGCAGAAATACCGAGGACGCAACACGCCATGCGAGTTCAGTGTGCGAGCGCTAGCGTGGGACGGCACGGCATGCTCCTGCAAACTACTGGCACGGTCTCCCGAACATTCCACAGAGGCCGTCGTGCGCTGAACCGCGCCCACGGGCGGCATGAACCCGCGCCCTGCACATCTGCTCCTGAGCAGGAGCAGGCCTCTGGACTGTTCTTGGCCAGATCGGCGAGGCGCCCGCAGAGCACACCACCACTTGATAAGGCCATCGCTGTCGAGGGGGATGTGCAGACGCCGCGCCCGAGGTTGTTTCTCGATCTCGGCCGCCCGCCGCTTGGTGCCTGCTTCGGGCCCCCTGGGGGGAACTTGCGAGAGGTCGGCCAGGACGGACCTTTGGAGGGGATCGGGGACCGATCCTGAGCGGACTCTGGCCGATGGCGCGCTCCAGAGACCCAGGCCCCCGACGTCATGCTTTTTTCAGAACGTCGACCCCCGAAAGGTCTCGACACATTTCCCGAAACCGCTCTTTTTATCGTGAGACTTTTTGTTGACGGCCCCGAGGCCCGGCAGGGGCCCGCAGAGGCGACAAACCTTCCGTCGTGACTTCCTTCATGACTCGCGGGGTCCCGGGGGGGAAGCCGCCAGGCGGGAGAGTGCACGCAGGCGTGCCAGCAGCCGGTCGCACCCAGCAGCAACAACAGCAGGTGGAGAGAGCGGGGGGGGGATCATCCACGGCAGGGCACTGCCGTGGCAACGTCGGCCCTTTGGCGAACCGCCCAACCTGGAGCGACCTCCGCTCTCGAGAGGACCCTCAGGGAGGCTCCCGACTCCCTCGTTCGTGCGGCTGCCGCGCCTGGGGCTGATTTCCGGTGGGATCAGCGCCCGAGACGGACCCAGCATATAGGGCGCTAAACCTTGAGCGCCCGCGCCGGCATCGCCGCCGCGCCGATGCGGCGATTTTCTTACTTTGGGGGGTAGGGGGGGATAACTGCATGAATGAAGCACCAGCTGCTTCGTATGCTACCTTTTGAGTCCGCGGGCGCCAGGTGGTCCAAGACAGTCAGACGCCAGTCAGTAAGCCGTGGGGTACACTGGGAGTGAATTGAGGCACGAAGGCGAAAGCGAACAGAGCGCGAGGGGGAAGGAGCCCACATAAGTATGCTACAAGCGTGGGGGCAGACAATGGGTGAACAGCCCTCGGGGCAACTATTAATGCACAGGCCCTTGGCGCTGTGCCCGTTTCAACTCCCGCGCCGAGGCCGCGATGATCCTGGCGCACCACGTGCGCTCGCAGTGGAGAGCACGCGCTCGCCTGCATCCCCGCCCCCTGGAGGGGGCGAGGGAGGAGGTGCCGACACGAGGGCCCATCTGGTGTGCCGCTGCCTGCGCACATGCGGCAGTCGTTGATTGAGGAGACACGAGGAGGAGGAGGAAGGAGGAGGAGGAGGAGGAGGAGGAGGAGGAGGAGGAGGAGGAGGAGGAGGAGGAGGATGAGGAGGAGAGGAGGAGGAGAGGAAGAGAAAAAGCCCACGTAGACGAGGAGGAGGAGGAGGAGGAGGAGGGAGGAGGAGGAGAGAAGGAGGAGAGCCCAGCGTAGACGAGGGAGGCGAGGAGGAGGAGGAGGATGGGAGGGGGATGGAAGGAGGAAGCAGGAGGGAGGAGGAGGAGGAGGAGGAGGAGGAGGAACAGGGAGGAGGAGGGAGGAGGGGGCGAGGGGCCCATCCGCCGCCGCCCCCTCGACCGCCCCGCGTCCCGCCTCGCCAGCCAGCCCCTTGCGCAGCTCGCCCAGCGCGCCTCTGGGGGCGCGCGCGCGCCAGCGGAGGCCCGTGGCGGAATGAGCTCCGCACCTCCACCTCCGTCAACTCCAGCTGCACCTGCACTCAATCACTCCTCCTCAACCTTATCCTGGTCCTCCTCCTCCTCGCCCTCTCATCGCCTCCCCTTCTTCCTCTTCCTCCTCCTCCTCCTCCTCCTCCTCCTCCTCCTCCTCCTCTCATCATCATCTCATCATCATCATCATCATCATCATCATTCATCATAATCATCATCATCATCTCATCATCATCATCATCATCATCATCATCATCAGCATCATCATCAGCAGCAGCAGCACAGCATTCAGCATCAGCCATCATCACATCAGCATCAGCATCAGCAGCATCAGCATCACAGCATCATCAGCATCATCAGCATCATCATCATCACCATCACCATCACCATCACCATCATCATCATATCATCACATCATCATCATCATCATCATCATCGTCATCATCATCATCATCATCATCATCACCATCACCATCATCATCATCATCATCATCATCATAATCATCATCATCATCAGCATCAGCATCATCATCATCATCATCATCATCATCATTCCTCCCCCTTCTCGCCCACTCCTCCTCCTCCTCCTCCTCCTTTTCCTTCTCCTCCTCGACCACTCCTTGCCTATATCTCGCATCTCTACCTCCACCTTTACCAACTCCCCTTCCCCGCTCCTCGCCTCCTCCTCCTCCTCATCATCATCCTCCTCCCCCTCCTCCTCCTCCTCCTCCTCCTCCTCCTCCTCCTCATCATCCTCCTCCCCTCCTCCTCCTCCTCATCCTCTCCCCCTCCCCTCCTCCTCCTCCTCTTCCCCTCCTCCTCCTCCTCCTCCTCCTCCTCCTCCTCCTCCTCCTCCTCCCCCAGAGTGAGCCGCCACCTCCACGTCCAGCTCCACAACCCTCTTCGCCTGCCCGCCTCCTCATCCCCGGCGGCGCCCCCAACCCCTTTCCCGAGGCGGGCGCGCCATGCGACTCGCGCTGCCGCTCCGCCAGGGACGCGACCTCCCCGGCCAGCCTCTCCAGCTGCACCTGCCGCCCGCGCTGCAGGCCCCGGGCGCCCCCCAAAAGCCTGGGGCCAAGCGCGGAGGCGCTCCGATCGCCCAGGGGAGGCAGCGGGTCCTGAGGGAACAGGGTCCTGATGTTTTTGCCAGTTTTCGAGCCCTCAGGGCCCTCCACGGGCGCCTTGGACCGTCAGAGAACGACTCGGGGTGAAGAGCTGGTCCTGTGGGAAGGCCCCAGGGTCCAGGACGCTTTCCCCCCAATGCTCCCCCGCGGCCGCGCACAAGGCTCCGAGGGCGCCGAGGGCCACGACAGGAAGCGTTGCCACAAGAGCCGTGGGGTCGCACGCAGAGGCGCCCCCTCGGCGGTGAGGCGCCCGAGGCTGCGGTGCCCCATGGTCGGCCACCCCGACAGCAGCCGCAGCCGCCTCCAGAGGCCTCCAGGTGCCTCGCGAGGGTGGAGGCCAGGGAGCGCGGCCGCGGGCGCCGAGGCGAGACCTCGTGGGGCAGGGCTGTGAGGACCTCACGCGCGGCACACCTGGAGACGCATGCCTCCAGGGGTGTGGGGGGGGAGCCTGCCTGAGCAGATTCGGCCAGGAACTGCCGCTTGGCGTTTGACGGCGGCGGCGGCCCCCTGCGACACGCTGCGCCTGCCGAGGTGATAGCGTGCCGCTCTGTTGCGTGGGGCGGAAGGCTGAAGAAAGATCGGAACGTTGATGCTCGCAGACTGAGACGTCGTCAGCGTGTCGCGCCGAAACGTGGGGGGCCAGGACTGGCGGTGCCACGCACTCACTAAGCAAACGCTCCTAACAGTAGCAGGCAAGACAAGCTTGCTCCTTGGGGCCTGACGTGCACACTCGTGCGGGAATCAACGTTCAGCGTCGGCGCAGTGCGGAGCGGCGAAGGAGCGGGGGTGCACGAGGGCCACTGGCGCCTCTGGGCTCCCGAGGCTTGCCGAGAGCCAGCGCGCAGCTCCCCCCCTCCCCCAGCCCCCCTGGAGCGCGGGTCGCGGCACTGCCTGTGGTGACGCAGGGAACCGCAGTCGATATACTTCCGACGGCGCCCGCGCGATTTGCTCCAGAGGATTTGGCAAAAGGCCGTGCACATCAGCATGAAGGACGCGGGGCCTGGACAACCTTGCGTCGCTTGCGGGCGGGCCCCTGGGGCCCTCCACAAGCCCCGGGGCGTCAAACAGAACGGCTGCGGATGGCGAAATGGTCCTGGGCCTGAGGGGACCCCAGGGTCAAGGACCCGCTTCCCTCTGGGCCCGCTTCCCTCATGGCGATTGCATGAACAGACAGGATATTGTCGGGGTTGTGGTATCCCCTCGTGGGAAAGAGGTGGGCACCCTGTCTCGCTTCGGCGGAACTCGCTCGCAAAGCTGGCGTTCCTTCCCCCCTCTCCTACTCCTCTAATCCCTCCTTCCCCTCTTCCTGCCTCCTTCCCTCCTCTTACTCATCCTCCAGCTCCTCTTCCTCCGTGTCTGTCTCCGTCTCCGTCTCCGTCTCCGTCTCGTCGTCCTCCTCCTCCTCCTCCTCCTCCTCCTCCTCCTCCTCCGACCCTTTCTCGCAGCCGCTCCCTCACCCACACTCACTTACACTTACTCAACCACTCCCGCTGACTCGCTCACTCACCTTCTCCCTCTCTCTATGTGCGTACCTATCTCTCTCACTCTCTCGCTCTCTCTCTCTCCCTCTCTCTCTTTCTGTCTCTCCCTCTCTCTCTATCCCTCTCTCTCTCTCTGTCCCTCTCCCCCCCCTCTCTCTCTGTCCGTTTCTCTCGAGCCTCAGCCCCTGAGCCTATCCTCCTGTGGGCACCTCTCCCTTCTCCCTTCTCCCTGCTCCTCCCTCCTCCCCTCCTCCTCCTCCTCCTCCTCCTCCTCCTCCCTCCTCCTCTCCTCCTCCTTCCTCCTCCTCCTCCTCCTCCTCCTTCCTCCTCCCTCCCCTCCCCCTCCTCCTCCTCCTCATCCTCCTCCTCTCCTCTCCTCCCTCCCTCCCTCCGCTCTCCTCCCTCCTCCCTCCTCCTCATCCTCCTCCTCCTCCTCTCCTCCTCCTCCTCCTCCCATCCAGTCCTCTTCATCTGACTCATCGTCATCTTCCTTCTTCTCCTCCAACGCGGTGTTCTCCCTCTCCCCGTTCTCAGTAGTTACGCACCCTCCTTTATTCGCCCTGTTCCTTCCTCTTTGTGTTGCTCCCTCTTCTGCGGTTTCTTCTCGTCCCCCTCCGCCTCCCCGTCTCCCCCATCCTCCTCCTTCTCCTCCTCCTCCTCTTCCTCGTCCTCCTCTCCTCCTCCTCCTCCTCCACCTCCTTCCTCATCCTCCTCCTCATTATCTCATTCCCCCTTTCCCCCTGCCATCTCCCTCCTCCTCGTCCCTTGCCTCTCACGCCGTTTCCCTTCCCATCCTCCCTCAATCCTCCCCCCCCCCCCGCCCCCTCTCTGATCCTCGCGGAGAGGGGCTCGAAACCTCGCCCCCCCACCACCCACCACCACCAGCACCCCCCCCCTCTTTGCGCCCCCCCCCCCCCCACCCCCTCGCGACCGCCGCGCCCGCGCCTGCAGCTGCTGGAAGAGCAGCCCCTGCGGCGCGGCTGCGCTGGGCTCGTCGACGTCGTCCTAGTCGTCGTCGTCGTCGTCGTCGTCGTCGTCGTCGTCGTCGTCGTCGTCGTCGTCGTCGTCGTCGTCGTCGCCGGAAGAGCGAGGGAGAGGGGGTAGTGGGAGTAGGAAAGGAACAAGAAGAGCACGAAGAGGACGACGACGAATGGCGGCGGGATGAGCAGGAGGAGCGCGAGCATGCGGGCGAGGGCGACAGGGGAGGGGGGCAGAGGAAAACGAGGACGGGGAACATGAAGAGGACAAGGAGGAAGAGGAAGAGGAGGAGGAGGAGGACGACGACGAGGAGGAGGAGGAGAAGGAAGGAGAGGAGGAGGATTCAGGGGGAGAGGAGGAGGAGGAGGGGGGAAGAGGAGGAGGGGGAGGAGAGGGAGGATAAGGAGGAGAGGGAGAGGAGAAGGTCGAGGAGGATGTCGTGCAGGAGGAGGAGGGGGAGGAGGAGGAGGAGGAGGAGCAGGAGAAGGAGGAGGAGGAGGAGAAAAAGGAGGAGGAGGAGGAGGAGGAGGAGGAGGAGGAGGAGGAGGAGAAGCGCGACCCGAAGAGAAAAAGGGCGGCCAAGAGCAAGCAACGCGAACGAAAGAGGCCCGCCCAGGGGCAAGAGGTGCAGGTGCCGAGGCAAGTCCGCATCTCCTCGAGGGAGCTTTCCCCGATCCCTCGCGACGAACGGGCTGCCCACGAAGCACCGCTTAGACTCGAGCGCCCCTCGAGGCAGCAAAGCGCGCTCGAGACCGGAGAGAACGGGCGGCGGCGGCAGGGCCGCGGGCGCCTGAGGAGCGCATATGGTTGTGCGCGCCGTGCACCACGTCGAAGAACGCGGCGCGCGACAAGAGAGCGTCGTCAGAGAGCGGGACAAGCGGGAAGAGAAGCCGGCGGGAGATGGCGGCGGCGGAGGCAAAGGAGGGAGGAAGCAGAGGCAAGGGGCAGTGGGCGACAACGACGGGACAGGTGACGAGGTGACGAATGCCGTCACCGTCCACGCGCTCACAAAAGTGACAACGCTGGGTTGGCCCAGGGGACCTCCTCGAGGTGACCCAAGAGTAGCAGACAGCCTTCAAGGCAGAGGCGCGTATAAACGGGGGGGCGATCTGCTCAAGCCTCCCGAGAACGCGCCTAGACGGTCCAATTGAGTAGGAGAAGAGGGGCCGAAGAAGTGCGAGACCCGCTTGCGGATCCTATTCCTCGTGGGCAAGTTTAATCGATCAAGCGCAAATTTGGCGGTCTGAAACTGGAGACGGGGGTGCCAAAGGGTGGGGCGGAGGGGGGGGGGGGGGGGGCGCTCAGCACGTCGTAGTTGCGGATCAGGTCCTGGGCCACGCTGTTGTCGAACCATTTGCGATCGCGAAGTGCCGGGAGGGATTCGCGTGACAGGGCCGACTCTTCTAGGAATATTCTGGCGGCTTGAATTGCAGGGGTGGCGAGAGCAAGCCTGTGCGCGGCTGTCCTGGACACCGCCCCCGCCGACTCGGCCTCGACTCCGAAACAGATCTGGGCAAGGGCCCTCGTGGATTCGCTAGCAATAGTTCCTGGGGCTGTTCTGAATGATCCGCAGGCAACTTTACTCGGCGCGTTTAGCTTGGACAGAGGGGGGACGGCACCGGCCAACGAACGACAGCGCAGAGAAGACCCGCACGCTATACTGCGCGACGCTTTTGAAGAGACCGAGGCAGAGGTGCTTGATATCCCAGGCAAGAGGGTGCAATTTAGCACAGGGCTCGCCCCAGCTGCGTTCGACACCACCAGGGCCGAGAAATATGCCTAGATTGCGCCCGCATGCCGAGATCTGAAAGCGATGATATTGCAGACCACGTTCAGCGAGACGCTGAAGGAGGACAGCGCGAGCGGGGGCAGCAGCGACGACATGGACGGTCTTCGAGGTGGCGAGCTCTAGACCAGCAGCTCGGTGGGAGACGGCAAAACATGCGAGAGCAATACGAAGGGACTGATGAAGTTCCAGGTTGCGCGCAGCAAGACCAACGCCGTCCGCGCAGGCGCCTAACTGATTGAGGGCCGGCGGCAAGAAGTGGCGCATCATGCGCGGGGCGGGGTCAAGGGCAAGGACGAAAATAGAGCCCGACATCGGGCATCCCTGCTCAACGCCGCGGAGCGCCCAAATTGTTCGCCCAGTGCGGCCGCAGAATATGATTTCAACTTGCATGTCATGATGAAGCTGTTTTAGAAGGTGCCGGATGTGACGAGGAACTCCAATTTGCCGAAGAATCCACCAAATATAATCGTGGAGCTCGGGATGGCGGCGCGGACGTCAAAGAAGGCGAAGCCTGAGTCGGGGGCCCCCTCTTGGCACCACCAGCCTAGGATATTGGATTCGAGGTTGAGGATGTTCCCAGCCATGTTACGGTCAGCAATAAAACCTTTTTGGACAGTGTGGCAGGCCTGTTGATAGGCTTGCCCGAGCCCTCGGTTGGCAGCCAGCGCGATGATTTTGTTTTCCCGAATGGACAGGTAAAGAGGATTGCTTTGATCGGGAGAACGTTCAAAGCCGCTGTCACCATGTGCCTGCATGCCTCTTGCAAGGAAGACCCATGGCGAGTGGTCGAAGCCTGGGCCAGGGCTGCCGAAATCGTTCAAGTGGCGGTAGATGTCGCATAACGCTGAGCGGGCTAATGGACCAGCATATTTCCATGTTGAAGATGGAAGGCCATCAGGGCCAGGGGCAGAATCGTGCAGCCGATCAATTTAAACTACTCCTCACATCTGGTCCACTCAATGTAGGTACAGGCTGAATGACTTGACGAAGCAGACAGCGCGAATTAGGACCAGACCGACCTCCAGAATGAACACGGCCACAATGGTCAGCAAGAAGACGCCCAGCCTCTTGGGGATCGGTAGTCGCGACGCCGTCCATGTTTAAGATGGCCCCAAGGAGGGATGCACCTGGTTCCGCCCCCCCCCCACCACCACCAAAAAAAACAGACTGGTACTCGAGGAGCCTCTGTTTGCGTTCAGCCTTGCGCTGCGGGTGCATGTTGAGGGCGTGGAGCTCTGCGACCTGGGTGTTGCGCAGCGTGTCGGGGAGTTGGTTGAGGTGCTGATGGGGGCCCGTTTGGTCAGTGCACAAGTGGGGACTGACATCGATGAATGTGGCGAAGTGGGAATAGGCTCTCAACGCTCTCGCAGCCATGGCCCAGGCCTGGCCCTGCGTCCATCGCAAGAAAGCGAATGACGGCGATGCTTGTTGCGGCGCAGCGGTGGCAGCGCGATGAGAGGCGAGATCGAGCGGCGCCACGTGGCAGATCCATCACCTCCTCGATCCCCAAGACAGGGTCCCGCGATAAAGCATCAGAACCTATTTCTCCCAGGGCGGTCTCGAACTGCTCAGAAAAGGCCGGGCGGCGCGCAATCCATGTCGGGATCCCTCGAGAGCCAGAAGGAGCCGAAGGGCGCAGAACGAGCACAGCTGGAACGTGATCTGAAAGCTCCCCCCGGATCGCGGGATCGCCAATGATGAAACTGCGCGGGCGTAGGTCGACGAGCGCAGCCGAAAACACATTAGTGTAGATCCTGTCATTCCTGCCCATATTGAAGGCGGCCCCCCGAACGCGCCGACGAGTGCACCTATCTTGGGCAACTCCAGCAATGCGCGGCATGACGCGCGAGAAGTGCTGATGCAGAGAGCTCGAACGAAAGGTAAGCTGGCCGGCAGATTGGAGCGCGCCTCACCATTCGCCTGATAGTAAAAATCACCAGCAACGAAGCACGCGCAGCAGGTGGGCCCCAGCACACGACCCGCATAACTGCTGATGCTACGCTTCTTGACAGGGGTGTGGAGGTCAGGGTCGAAGTGCAAGCTGATAGCTCTAAGCCGGCCTCGTGGCCCACAGAAGTCGACGTAGTGACCGCGCCCAGGGGCACTAACATGTGCAGAGACACAAGGGAAGAGCATAGCCACTTTCGCAGAGTGGTAGACGACGCTCCCACCTGCATAAGGGTAATCCAAGAACGTCCCAGCACCATGAAGCCCAACGACGGACAATCGGCTATCTTCTGCAGATCCGTGAGATTCTTGGACGCAGACAATCTTATAAGAAGCAGCGAGCGCCCGCTGTTTCGAGAGCTCCCGCTGAGTGCTGGTAACATCGGCCCAGATCGAACAATGCAAAGTGCGTGCGTTCCATGTCGCAGTGCTGAAGGCGGCGGCAGCAGGGCGAAAGGGTATCTGTAATGAAGTGGACAGTGCGGAAGCTGTAGTAGGCAAGCTGGGAGAAGTGCGCGGCCTGGCAGATGGCGGCTCCGCAGAGGGCGACGTCGATGAAGACGGGGGAGAAGAAGAGGCGGCCGACGTCGAATACGCCGAAGAGGAAGACCGCGCCCTGGATGAACACCGCTCCGAACTCCGCGCAGAACACTCTGCGCGCGCACCGATGACAGACTCAGGCAGGGAGGGGGAGGGGAGGGAACATGGCTGAGGTTCAGGCGCGGTTGGCCCCATCACGGCCGGCGCGACGGGCGACCGAGCAGGGCGCGAGATCGGGCTGGAGGCAGAGGCGGGGCAGCGATGCAAGAGAAGCGGGCCATTTTCACACGACGCGGCAGGCTGCGCATATTTGAAAGCACAGCTGGCGAGCGCAAGGGCAGGTGAAGCGACGGACGCCGACCAGGAGAAGCGGCCGCGCTCAGCGCGGGGGTGAGCTGGGGGGCAGGGGGGCAGCTGCGAAAGCAAAATTGGAAAACTACTGTGCGTAATCCATCGAAGCCTGGGCAGCAGGGGCGAAAGCTGCGGGCTCCGGGGCGGGCCTGGTGCCGACGAGGTGCACCCAGCAGCCGCCCGCAGGACGGCTCGCACGCGCACTATGAGCCTCGGAGTGGCCGCAGACGATGCCACTGCTGTCGGGGCAGCTCAAGGGGCCGTCAGGCGGGAGTCGCAGCGGCTGCGATCGCGGTCGAGGCGAGGCGCTGGCTGGCCTCGGGGGCGACCTCGATGATCTCCATGCCCGAGGGGATTGGCGGTCGCCGTGAAGACGCCCGCCAGGTCCGCGACGACTGAGCACAGCTCGTAGATGCGCTCGTCGCGGGACGACAAAGATGACGCCTTTGTGCGCATTGTAGCCGAGCTGGTCCGTGTCCCGCCAGATGGCCTTTTCCTCCATGTGGGCGCGGATGCCCTTCCACAGCTCCCCGGGCGCAATGTTCTTGTTCCTGGCGCTCTGGGGGGGGGGGCCATTGCGCGCCCGCAGCGCGCGGGAAGGCTGCCCAGGAGACCAGGCGCAGGGCTGGGCGGAGAAGCCGTCGAGGAAGGCTTTCGCCTGCTGCTCCACGGGGAACTGCAACGAGAACGTCGCGTTGATATTGCACGCCACGGCGACGACCTGGTCCCTGTGATGGGCAGGGACGTGCAGGGCGACAATGGACGCCGCTGTGCAGAGCAGGACCGCCTTGGGGCACTTCCCCTTGAAGCCGACGATCCAGACCTCGCACGGGTCCGAGCCGAACTCATCAGCTCGAGGGCCAGTCCTGGAGCCAGCCCCCGAGGTGGAGGCGCGGGAGCTGCCGCGACGGCCAGGGGCCCAAGAGCTCCAGGAGTCCTCCGAGGGGCTCCTGGGCGCGGGCCGCACATGGGTTTCCTCTTTCATCTTCGCCGCGGGCTTGGCCTCGAGGTCGGAGATCTGCTGTGTCATCCGCATCTCGATTGCATGGGCTTGAGCGGAAGCGGCTTCTGCAGCCGCCTCTTTGATCAGACTGATGGGGGCCTCCATGGCTTGGGCGCGGTCGACCTCCACCGCGTGCGGGCGGAGGGCTAGGCTGTTGTGCTGCTCCTGGAGGGCGTGCACCGATTGGGCTGTCGTGTTGATGCTCGTCTGCAGCGTGTCGCAGCGGCCGATGGTCAGGTCGCGGATGTCGCCGAGGGTGGGCGGGGCGCCGCCAGCGGGCACAGGTGTCGCAGTGAGGTTGGGCTCCGTGACAGCAGCGCTGGCAGCAGCGACGGCGACCGAAACTGGAGAGAGGGGAGCACCAGCAGCCTCATGCGTAAGCGGACCCGGGGGCTGCGCGGCAGCACGGGGCACCGCAGGCGCCGCTGCTTCGGCGGGGACCGCAGCAGGCGCAGCGGCGGCCGCTGCTGAGGGGGGGCCTCCAGGCAACACGGCGGGGGCAGCCTGCGGAGCGCCAGGGGCAGCCGCGCCAGCATCGATGGGCGGAGCGCCGCCCGCGTGGTCAGAGATGTCGTAGATGATGGGGTCGCGTCTGAGCGTGCTGTGCGGCGTCGCAGTTGCGGGCACAGCGAGGCCGCTGGGCGCCGCCGAAGCTGCCGCTTTCGGGTCTTGGCCGACCAGGGGGTGGTGGCCGCCGCCCTCTGTGAGGTCGTCGTCAGTGAACACGCCGTAGTCGTCGATCAGAGTGGGCTTGTGGGGGGGTCCGCTTCGTTCTGGGTTGCAGGGCGCTTCCCGCCCAGCGTGCCACAGCGCGGGGCGGATGTGGGATGGTCGCGCCACGGATCCTTGGAGAAGACAGAATCTTGCACGCTATGCGAGCCCTTGCCTGACTGCAAGGCGGGGTAGGGTCCATGGTCATCATCAACGCGAGCCTTGCTACCCTTGCCCTTGTGGACACTAAATTGCACGGCAGCCGTCGACATGGCTGGGGATACTGGTGTGACATGAAAGATGGTGAAAAGCTGCGCAGCCCCAGCCTGCGCCTCGGGAGGGGAAACGGCAGTGCAGGGAACGATAAAGACACGAGTCCCTGCCTGGCTGGGAAGCCACCTGTGGCATGGGTAAAAGAGACTGACCTGCCCCGCTTGCTTGCGATATGGTTTACTTGAGCCAAAATGGTTACGGGAGGAGGAGGAGGAGGAGGAGGAGGAGGAGGAGAACGACGACGAGGAGCGGCAGTTGCCTCAAGCGGAGATGCATGAGGAGGAGGAACACCAGGAGGACCCGTTTCCGACATCACCTGCGCCCAGCACGCAACAAGGGTGACTGTGTAAAGCACGAACAGGGCGCGACACCATTTGGGGGCACGCTTCCTAAGCGCCATTGCTTGACATTGTTAGGCATCGCGTCGCGTTGCTTGGCGTTGCGTTGCTTTGCATTGCGTGGCGTTGCTTGACATTGCTTGGCGTTGCTTGACATTGCTTGGCATTGCTTGGAATTGCTTGGCACTGCTTGTCTTGCATTGCGTGGTATTGCTTTACATTGCATGCTCTCTGGCATCGCTTTGCATTGCTTGGCATCTATTTGCAGCGCCTGGCAGTGCGTGGCATTGTTTGGCATTGTTTGGCAAACAGGGTAACGCCTCTTCATAAACACAATGGACACAATACCCAGGGGACCCAGGGATCCCGCGGAAGGTCAGCTTTTCAAACGTAGGATAAAGACAAAGCCCAAGGAACCCGAGGAACGCTGGTCGGTACAGGCCGCGCACCCACTGCTTGTCCAAACACAAAAAAGGAACCCCTTAGGCAAGCCTGCTTGGGGAGCTACGGGGATCGGCCAGCGCCGGTGCCGTCTGGGAATTAGCCATTCCTCAGCATTCCTAAACGGCGCCGGCGCGAATCGTGACGTTACCAGCCCCCCCCCTCCCCCCCACTGGTCACGCTTGTTATCGCCAGGGAAAACAGTGTGGACTCGTACCCCCCCAAAACGCCTGCACTTTGCCAGGGCGCCCTGGGCTTCATGGATCCAGACAGGTCTCGAATGGAAACCTAAGTGCTCCCAGACCCGGGCAGGACTCCATCGAAGTCCTTGCGACGCTCACGGTGTGGGTCTCCCGTGGCCGAAGTCCACCTGTCGGAGGGGAGCCGGCCGTGGATCGGAACTGGCAGGCGGGTGTTGCACAGGACGCCCTGCTGGTCCGAATGCACGTGTCCACGATACCCACGGCTGCCCCAGAGCTCCAACATGTTCGTAGGGCAAAGCTCCTGCTCCTCCAAGCGGAGGCAGCGGAGAGGAAACACCGACCAGCCATGACCTAGAGGACTCACTTTTTTCCCCCTCCTGAGGGAAGCCGTCGCTTCGGCGACCTCTCGCGAGGGGTGCAGAATCTGAGGGCCCCCCGTGGGTGGTAAAGAACAACGCCCCCCGCAGTCGTGGATGACCTGAAGGAGAGGAGGAGGGGTAGAGCAGCGAATGATCTCAGAGGCCTGCTTCTACTTATGTATCAGATCGGACTTGCGCCGTGCTTGAGGCGTTTAAGCCCTGCTTAGGGTAAGTACGACCCGTCTTTGCAGCGTCCCACAACTACGCGAGGGCTGCGATATCACGGGCTCCAGAGGTCCTCGCAGGCCTCAGAAGGCCCAACAATTTCAGAAACGTCCGATCACATCTGCCCTCGATCTTCCACGGAACGATGAGTAGAGGCAGGGCTCTGAGTGAGAGGGCAGCACGTTTTCACCCTTTGTGGCGTTCGACGAGGTCTGGCAGTCAGCAGTGCGGGCGCCACTTCGGGCTCCCCCGCTCAGGGGAGGTCGGTGCCGCAGGACGGCCCGCCAAAGCTCGGCTCAAAACCCTGGGCCTGTGTTTCCCCCGCTCGCCCCTGCCTCCGCGTTGCCCCCTCTCCCTTCCTCCCCCGTGCCTCGATTACCCCCCACCAGAGGCTCGAATCCTCCACGAGGAGGGCCCCACTTCCACTCTGGACGAAGCCCCCTCTCTCTGCTCCCATCTCTGTCGGCTCACTGCTGCAGGTGTCTGTGCCTCTGGAGTCCCCCCTCGCTCTCTCCGGGGCGGGAGCCATACCCGTATCCACGGCCCCGCGGTCTGGACTCCTCGGCCACGACCGCTTGAAAAAAGGGCGGCGTTCCACGAATGCCCCGCGGGGAACGTGTCCCTGGGACTGCGCATCGGAGTCCAGACCGCGGGGGCACAGACATGCACACCTTCGAGAGCGCGCGCCCGCGGTGCACTCCCGAAGGGGGGGGCCCCCCTCTTAGCTACCCTCCCCCCCTTGGACCTCCCCTGCTGGAGGACCCCCCCTTCTTTCTTCCCGCCCCTCGGAAGCTGCCCTCCTCCCTCCCTTCGCGCTCTGGAAGCTACCCCCCCCCCTCCCTCTCCGAGGGGGGGGGGCTTAGCTGCCCCCCGCCCTTGGACCTCCCCTGTTGGAAAGCACCCCCCCCCCTCCCCGGCCCATCCCTCGGAAGCTGCGCTCCCCTTTCGGGTTCCGGAAGCTCCCCCCGCCTCTCTCTCCTTGCAGAAAGGCGGGAGGGGGCTTCTCCCCCCCTTTGAGCCTCCCCTGCCGGAAGCGCGGGGCCCCCCCCCCTCCCCCCCCCCCTCCGGCTAGGGGGGGAGCTTGGAAGACCCCCCTTTGACTACAGGAAAGAGCGCCGAAACCAAAAGGCCGCCGAACACCGAAAGGGTGCCGAAAACCAGAGGTGCGCCGAGAACCGAAAGGGCGCCGAAAACCGAAGGCGCGTCGAGAACCACAAGGGCGCCGAGAACCAAAGGAGCGCCAAAAACCAAAGGAACGCCGAAAGTCAAAGGAGCGCCGAAAATCAAAGAAGCGCCGAAAACCAAAACAGCGCCGAAAAGCCAAGGAGCGCCGAAAACCAAAAGGCGCCGAAGACCAAAAGAACGCCCCAAACCGAAGAGGCGACGCAAATCAACCAAGGCTACGGAAACCAGCGGGAAGCCGAAAACCAAAGATGCGCCGAAAGCTAAACGAGCGCCGAAAACCAGAGCAGCGCCGAAACCCAAAAGAACGCCGAAAATCAAAGGGTCGCCGAGCTTGGAAAGGACGCCGAAAACCAAAGGGGCACCGAAAACAAAAAAGGGCGCCGACAACCAAATGACGGCCAAACGCCAAAATGGCACCGATGACCAAAACGGAGCCGAAAACCATCGGGGTCAATTGAGCACCGAAAGCCATAACGGCGCCGAGAACAAAAGGAGCGCCGAAAACAGAAAGGGCGCCGAAAACCAAAGGGGCGCCGAAAACCAAGGGGGCGCAGAAAACCGAAAGGAGGACGAACACCAAAAAAGCGCCGAACACAAGGGGTGCCGAAAACCGACTTGCGCCGGAAACAAGTAATGCGCCGAAAAGTCAAAAGGATACCGAACACCAAAGGGGCGCCAAACACCAAGAGCGCGCCGAAAACTCAAGGGGTGCCGAACAACCAAGGGGCGCCGAACACCGAAAAGAGCGCCGAAAACCAAAGAGGCGCTGACAACCAACGGTGCGCTGAAAACCAAAAGGGCGCCGAAAAACCAAAGGAGCGCCGACAACCAAAAGGACGCCGAAAACTACAGGGGCGCCAAGCAGCTCCGAAGACGGACGGGGCGCCGAAAACTTTTGCGTCGGCGGCTAGGCAAAGCAACTGCGATTGCGGAAGAGCTAACTAAACGGGGGCACCGTCGTAGCGAATTGTGCCAAAATGCACAAGGCAGGCGCCGAACACTAAAAGGGTGCCGAAAACCTGAAGGTCGCCGAAAACCAAAGGGGCGCCAAAAACCACAGAGGCGCCGAAAACCAAAGGGGCGCCGAAAAACAACGATGCGCTCAAAACCAGAAGGGCGCCGAAAAACCAAAGGGGCGCCCATAACCAAAAGATCGTCGAACACCAGCATGGCGCCAAAAACCAAAGGCGCGCCGAAAGCCGAAGGGCGCCGAAAACCAAAGGCGCGCCGAACACCAACGAGCGACGAAAACCTAAAGAACGCCAAAAAGTCAATGGGGCGCCGAACAACCAGAAGGGCGCCCAACACCAAGAGGGCGCCGAAAACCGAAGGGGCGCCGAAAACCAACGATGTGCCGAAAACCAACAGGGCGCCGAAAAACCAAAGAGCGCGCAGAAAACCAAAAGGAGCACCGAAAACCACTGGAGCGCCAAAAACCATAGGAGCGCCGAAAACGAAGGAGCGCCGAAAACCAAAGGGGCGACGAAAACCAGAGGGGCGTCAAAGGCCAAAGAGTCGCCGAAAACTAAAGAGGTGCCCACAACCAAAGAGACGTCAAAAACCACAAGCACGCCGAAAACGACGAAAACAAAAAAGGAACGCAGCTTCGAAGCCCCCGCTTCAGCCAGGGCCCTCAAGCTGGAAGATCCAACAGATGGAGGGGAGGGGGGGTAGCTTCGGAAGCCCCCCCCCTTTGGAAAGGACAACCCGGGCTTACCCTGGGCACCGAAAAGAAGGGAAGGGGGGGGGGGGCAGCTTCCAAGCTCCCCTCCCCCTTTAGCCAAGGGCCCCCCAGCTGCAAAGTCCAACCTAAAGGAGGGGGGGGGGCAGCTTCGGAAGCCGCCCCCCCTTGGAAAGGGGGGCTCGGGCTGACCCTCGGCTCGGGAAACCTTTTAGCTAGGCTAGGGGTCCCCTGGCTCCGAAATGCCCACAGAGGAAGGAATGGGGGGTAGCTTCAGAAGCCCCT